AATATTATATACTGGAATAGTACCAACACTTTGTTTTTGCGATACTTTAAGTCGCCTAATTGTAGTTTAATTTAAAACATGAATACTGACCATCCAAGACAGTATTCTAAACATATAAGTAGCAGTACTTACTCTTTCCCTCGATTGGGACATCACCGAAGAAAACACATCGCCAAATTTGTATAAACCATGAACAAAGTGACAGTTGTTGATAGAGGACCGTCTGGATCATTAGGTTCATGTTGTTTATTTTCTATTTAGTATTTTATGCACACGTTTGTCTTTTCGTCGTCTGTCGTTTTGTCATGGTAGTGTCCGTTTCTGTTCGACTTATGCGTTTTAAATATTTCTTTGTTATCTACCCCCTTCTTCTAGAGCCAATTTATTGTGTCTTGAATATATTTTAACGGAATGAATGTGTTATCAAATTACCGACTTTTTATTCTGCTAACGGTATTTCCCTTTATTTTGTTTGTTTTGTTCACAAGTCGTTGTCAATAAAGTAGAATTTTATGCGACTGTCATACAAGTGAGATGTTTAGCTAGCTATAAAACCAGGTTTAATCCACCATTTTCTACATAAGAAAATGCTTGTACCAAGTCAGGATATAACAGCTGTTATCCATTCGTTTGATGTGTTTGAGATTTTGAATTTGCCATTTACTTAGGGACTTTCCGTTAAGAATTTTCCTCGGAGTTCGGTACTTTTGAGAATTTTACTTTTTACACCAAACAATAACTAACACATAATATAATTAATTTTGGTAGCGAACTTGAAAATCATTTTGAATATTTCAAATTCTCAATTGCGACATGAAGTTGTCATGCATTTTTCTTTACATTACCCTTTTCTAAATTAAATAAGTTACCAGTAAAACACTGTTGTGTATTTAGAAAGGGGTGACGTGTAGAAAAATTCATGACAACCTCCTGTCGCAATTGAGAATTTGAAATATTCAAAATGATGGTCAAGTTCGCTACCAAAATTAATTATATTATGTGTTTGTTATCAATCATTTAATGAGGGATATTAATTATATTATTTGTTAATTAGTTAAATATTTTTGGAGTTAAAAACCTGCAACTGGATATATATGTATAAAATCATCGACTCATCCGGTCTCGCTTCTTGGGCAGTTCATACTTTGCCTCATTTTTGTTTGTTACTTTTGCTTATCTTCTCAATTAGATGAATTAGAAATATCCTCCGCTTGCATATTGTCAACTCAAAAGAGTCTTAACAAGATCAGGTTTATAAAGTTAACAAGCAAATACGTGAAGGGTTCACTACAAAAACTAATATTCGATAGTTATTTTTTCTCATCCTTTTTATTATCAAAGTATTTTGTCTAAAAACAACGACTTTCTGCTCTAACAAATAAGCTAAAGAAAAAATAACAATGCATTTTGGAAAATGGTCTTATTAATAGAGAGAACTCGATTAATGGAAATAAGTTAATGCCTGATACAAAATTGAAATTACAATATATTCCCAAATTCTATACAGTTGAAATGCAAGCTGACTTTTGATTATATTTGTTTATATTGTGTCACTGTTTGTAAACATTGTCTTATACTTGAAGCTTATTATTATACTGAATACGACAGGAAAACATCTCCCAAAAAATGTGAACATATATTATAAATTTTATCTTATATATTATCCTTTATAATTTCTGTCAGCTATCGTCATACTCTTCGCCATAACAACTGCTTTTATCTTTCATTATTATGTTATTATTATAATTGAATATCCCTTTATTGAGATGCTATTATGATTTGAGTTATTTCTCTTAGAATGTAAATGTTCTTTGTACACATTTATATTTGACCTTTTGATTTGTGTTGGAGAGGATGTATATAGGCTTTAGCCTACTATCATACTTATTTAGTTATTTCCTGAATAGCATATGTTTAAATTAGTGAATTAATGATTGGAATAAGTGAAATGTATAGTTACAGAAACAATATTAACAATTATCCAAAACTTCGGAATTCACTTTTACATGCATGGATATATATGGATAACGTTTGTCTTATGAATAAATGTATAAAAGACGTAAGTAGCATGTCGTCTTTCTAATTGCTGTTCTAAATATAATAAATTTTATACTTATTGGAGTAGCGGCATATGGCATAGCATTAGGGAAAAGAAAAAAAAAAGAAAAAATGAATTTAGATATTTTCTATTTAATTGTAAATTTGTTTTGTCAATATTACATATTTGTATTGTTTATCGTTTACTTGTGTTATTTAGTAACAATTCGATTGTTTGGATTTTATAGTAACTGATATCGTTAATCATATATCTTATATATTTTGATAAATAAATGAGATTTGAACATCGGTAAACTACTTTCGCCTTTATTTGCTCTAAACGCAACACTTACTGTTTAACAATAAGGAGATGTGGTACTATTGCCAATGAGACAACCATCTACTAAAATTCAAATGAAGTGGATGTAAGCAATTATAGGCAGCCATACGGCTTTCCACAACGATTAAAACCCCATGCCGTATAGTCGGCTATAAAAGGCCACGACATCATGGACATGAAAAATATGAAACAAGTCAATTGATAAAAACTAACGGCTTAATTTATAACAAAATAATTTACGAAAAACAAAAATTACAGACAAGAACCAACGACAACCACTGAACTACAGGCTCCTGGCTTGGGACAGGCACATACAGAATGTGGCGGAGATAAACATGTGAAGGCTCAATCCTGTGTATTCCTATTTTGAATTATAAGTTTAAGTGTTGTGTATTTAGGCAACTGGCTTCCATTTGCCATTCTTAATTGAGCTGTGGCGTTTGGCGTATAAAAGCATGAAAACAAATATAGCAATGTCCAATTATCTGATTAACCATGTATCAAATAATACTTTAATTTTTCAGACCCTGTTGCCTGTAACTGAGCAACTTTCGAAAGTTTTACTGTCATGGATTTTTTTTTAACCAGACAATATGTTTCTTAGACAATTTTTATTCTATTTATCGTCGAGTATTCCCATCACCCTTTTCTCATTTTTCCTGAAAATCCAGTTTTTCTTGTTGTAAAGAAAACGGTTGATGCCACTATGTGATATGCTTATAAATCCAAATTTATCCGAGTTTAAAGCTGGTTTTGTGTTTATTTTGGCGTTTGAGTCATATATTATTGTTTCGTGTCTCTGTTTATCTATTTTCACGAATACAGCTTGTATTATTTTTATTATTTATTTGAAATTAATACTTTTGAGATGACCCCTGATGTACTCGGTACATTTATAGGTTTCATTACAATACTACCAATAAATATATTATAATTGTATAAGCAAAGATCGGTTTAAGCAAACAATTCGTAATGAAAGTCATTCCATATTTTCTAAGTTTAACATAATTTTTGGTTGATTTCCTGGTTGGTTGGTTGGTTGGTTGATATGATGTTTACATAATTAGAAGTGACAGTTCCTCATATCAATACGTTAGTTGGTCATTTGGTTTATTGGCTGATTGATTGATTAATGGAATGATTTATTTAGTGATTTATTGGACGTTTGCATAATTGATAATGTCAAAAGACGCATATTTCATATTGAATAATTCATTGATTGGTTGCTTATGTGACGTCCAGTGACGAATATTCAACGAACATTATATACTCAGAGTAACAGGTTAAAGACACCCCTTCGAAAAAAAACCAGGATTGGTACTACTTCCTCCATTCAATACACAAGGACAATTCTCTTTGAAACGCGAAAAGAGAAATATAAGGGAATTTTCAGGTTCACATTAAAACGAAAAACAAGAAGAAAAGTTAAGATCCAGCTCCTATTTAGTTATAATGAAAACAACAAATAAATAAAACATTCATTCCGAGGATCCCTATAGAATACAAATTGTTAGAGTAAGCTTCTTCGATATTTTTAGAAGGGGATGTTCCCATTTAAATTTATAAAGGAAAATACAAGGATACTTTGCAAACGGGGAAACTGAGAGGGTGTTGAATGTTTGCATGTTCTTAGAAATATCCTGATTAAGATACAAATATAAACATCTCTATAAATTGAAAGAGATCCATGCTTTACCTCTGTTTTGATTGATTCCAGCAACTAAGTGCTGTGTATTTTGTTTAAATGGAGGAATCAGTTCCTGACCTGCCTATTGATTTTGCAAACAATCCAAGCCAATCAATTGATTAAGAAATGTGAAATACGTCAAATATGACAATATGCAAAGTTTAAACCATTGTATATGTAGAACTTGGAATTTAGTTATGCAAACATTCTATAAACAACCAATCAACTTAGGGTAGTTGGTTATGAAGGATATAATTCTCAACTAGTTCTACTTTTCATATATGTAAGAGTTTATTCATTATAAGAAAAAATTACACGCATTTAATCAGACAACGCCAAAAGAACTTTCGCATATCATGGCCCTGTTTACGTCCTTTATCTGGAGAAAATTTAAATTTAGTTTTGTAATTTATTAACCATGTGTCAGCTATAAACAGGTTAAAAGACATTATTTAATCCGCTAAGCACATATGTTTTATAAAAAAATGATAACTATAAAAAGATTGCAACTCAAAATCATAGATTCGAAAAAAACCATGTTATTTATGGACAAACCGGACGAAAATACCAGCAACAGTCTTCAAACAACTTCATTACAAACTAAAGGCACGAAAGTTCCTGCCAAAAAAGATGATGTAAGCATTTTTATTTTCTAATATCCTTGGTTCAATAACTTTCCTGTAAGCAATAACTCTTTATCAAGGAAAATATGATGAGAAATACCTGCTTGAAACATCGTGTCATAAGAAATATACCACTCCATACTCAACATGCAGGCGCTATTATAATGTTCACAATGAAGAAATACTGTTTACAATTAAAATATTGAAGTCATTACCTAACAACCACCCCCCCACCCCAAAAAAAAAAATAAAAAAAAAAAAATTAAAAAGATCAAATACCACAAAAATAAAAACAAAGCAAGCCCAATATTTATACAAAACATAATAATTGCTCTCGGAACGAGCTGTTGCGCTCTAAAGAAATAATTACAAAATTGATTTAACATTGCATTTGTTTAATTTTGCTAAATACTTAAAATACATGGTTTTGTCTCTGGCTTATTCTCTTACACATCAATTATAATTCATCACATAGTTTTAACAGCTATATTGTACAATCAGTGTTGCTTTTATTACAGCATTGCAATCTATACACCTTTTCAACTGTTCACCACAGGACTGACAAGTACATAAATGGCGACAAGGAAAATACAGCAAATTACTTAGACAGTTTCTGCAAATTTTGCAGATTAACTCCTGGAAATACCTTTGCGATGGATCTCGTTTCTCTGAATTAATAGAAAAAAATATTAATAGTTTACGGAGGAATATGAATTACTCCTAGCTGAAAATTCAACACATTTGGACTTTTTCGTAAACATTTTCATGGCGATCTCTCATTAAATATTTAATGATAATGTACAGAAACATGCATTGAGAGTAGTTTTAATACCTCAGTTAGTTTTTGTTTTAAAATAAAATCATAGACGAATAAATCTACCTTTTTTACGAAATTGTATATAAAAAAAACTATTTAACGGTTAAAAGTTTCAACAATTTACTGGGACTGAACTATTTACTGGAAGCAAACCTTTCCCCTTAAAAAGAATATTGACCGGTGAATAGTTTCAAAAATATTTACTGTGTATGAATTATTTACTTGTAGCAAACATTTTCCTGTACGTTCTGACCGTATATCGCATTGTTGAACAATGCGTGTTCTTACATTTGTATTTCATTTCAATACAGAATATAGGTTCGTGGAATATTTACGTTGTCAGCTTCAAACGCAAAAAAAAAAAACATTCCAAGATTCTATATTCTGTATTGACGTCATTAATAAGACTCCACGGACACACATTGTTATACATTGCAGTGTATATCGCAAAAGAAATATATGGTCAATGGAGTTTGACCGCACAAATCGAACAAATGCAGTATACAGAGTATATGTATTTGGTGCACTGGTACCCAAGTGCTCTAGGTAGTCAAACTACTGTATCACCAGTATGTATACACTAAGATCGTGAATTCGAATCCCGCACGTGGCAGGTGCGCTCGACTCCAATCTGAATAGACTGGGATTGGCAGTTTTCTACCGAGGGTCTTTGGTTCTATCCGAGCACTGCGGCTACCTCCACTAATAAAAAATGACTGCCACGAAGATAAGCTGAAAGTGGCATTGAACACCAATCAATCAATCAATCAATCAATTAAATACAAAAAACCAGGTTAAATGATATAATTCATTTGGAAAAGTTGTAAGAGTTGCAGTATAAAGGCGATGAACATGCATACATTGTCTATTTGGATAATTTCGAGTTTATTGTCCTCATGATAACAGCCTGTAAAAAAGGTTATACTTTTAAACAAATAGGTAAGTAAAAATGGACAAAATAGGTTGACCACTAAATAATTTAAGCTCTCCTGTCGTTAAAACTTCATCGTATTTCAATTAATGCAAACTTACCCTGGTTTTTGTTTTCATGTGTATTCATAGACATCATTTTAATTTCTATAAAATAGAAAGATAGAGCAGTGAGTCAAAATTAAAACATGTGTCGTTTATTTCCAATTATTTCCATTAACCATGACTAGTGAGTTATTGCTTTTTGATTATGGTTTATGTTAATAGCCCCATAATAATGTTTATTTAAAAAACTACATAGTTTTCTACATTTCATTAACGTGAAAGCTGTTCATATGCGGATTAACTAGGACACTGATGATGCCCGTATTTATATTAATGAAAAAAGACAAAAAAATCGTAGAGATTTTTTAATTCAACAGAATGCACACTTTCATGTAAATTAGTGTTGTATTTTATATTTTATATCGACAACTATTGTACACAACGTATTTTGATATCAATGAGGCAATCTAACCTTGTGTGCAGAAATATCATTTTACCATTTAACTATATTACATGAAAGCATTTGTATCAAAGACAATAATTAAACGTTTAAATGTCAAACAAAGTTTATTAATTACATAGACAATTTGAGAAGATATATACAACAAATTGATAAAAAAGCTTTACATTTACCAATGATAATCTATACGGAAACACACTGAAATTTTGAAATTCCACATACTGTATAAGAAATGAAACATTAACTAAAACGTCAGACTTACATATACAAAAATAAAAAAACACGTTATGAATTTCATGCGTTCGAAGAAGACTTGAGAAAACATACATGGTAAAACGTGTCTTATATTCTACAACTTTCTAAGGTGACAATGTTAAATAAAAAAAGTTCTCCTGATCCTACATTTATTCGTCATTTATATTTTTCTCGAATAAATCTTTACTTTAAATTCCTAGAAAAACAAACTATTAGCATAAGAACATAGAACATATACTGATTTATGCAGTTCATAATATAATGTTAAAAATAAATAGGTATTTCTTTTTATCATGTTAACTTACGTTTTAATATGCTGGTTTACAATCCAAGATAATTTAAAATTACTTTAAATCCTGACTACAAATTGTTTTCATAAGATATCAATAAAATACTAGCGCATATAGTTTTCTCTAAATGGCTTATATCAAATGCATATAGATGTTGCAGAATATGAGTAAATACGATATAAGTAACACAATTGACTGATTAAAATATTACATGATGTTACTGTAAGTTTAGATTAATGCAATGTATAAACGTCGATTTATGACTTTTGAACAGCGGTATACTACTGTTGTCTTTATTTAATTAAGGACCAGCTGTGAATCAGCGAAATAACAGATGTGGTGTTTACCAACTTTCAAGTTATAATTGGAGTGATAATTTAATGTTATAATATGATGATTCCTCGATAGTAGAGATGATGAGTTAAAACATATCCAATTTCATTTTGAGGCAATTTTGCTGGAAAATCTGTAGGACTGAGTAGATTACATCACAACGAAAACACCAACAAAACAACAGAAATTCTTTATGTTTGGTATAGCTTATGATAGCATGTCAATCAATTTCGATAAATATATTTTCTATAATGGTAATCAAGATGAATTTCTAAAACAATTCAACTCATATATGTTAATTTGTAAACCTACGCAGTTTAGGATGGCTATAATCATCCCTTTGTAAACGACAAGGACTTAGCTTATATGATATTTTAAATGCATATATTTAATATTGGTTAATATCTTTAGATGTATAAATTAATAACATTTCCTATCCTACCTGAGTAAAAAAATAAAGAAAAACATTTGTTCACATCTAGAACAGTCAAGTATACGGCTTTAAATGTAAACAAGGTTAGTATCTTTCGCCTAATTTAAATTTAAATTCTGCTTTTACAATGAAGTTCCTTGTATCCTGTTTGTCTAATCCTTTTTTTTGAGGCTATGATATAAGATAAGGAGATGTAGGATTGCTAATAAGACTATCCAACAGTGTTCAAATGAAGCCGATTAACGCAATAAAAGGTCGTCATATGTCAGTCAACAAAGACCACAACCAAAACCATATAGTTGCTATAAAAGGCTCTGACAAGACAAAAGTGAAACAATTGAAACAATAATAAATGACCTAATTTACAACATAACATTTAACGAAAAACAAAATGACACACAGCAACAATTGAGAACAGCTAAACTACAGGCTCCGGACTTAGGACAGACACATGAAATATGTAGTGGTAGAACACATAAGAACACTCTGTAAAAATCAGTGAAAGATAGATTAACTCACCAGATCGGCAATTAAGACTTCCATAACAGGTAAAACGTGTTTGATCTTACTTTCCCTTGTACAAAAATTAAAACAACACTTAACTTTATACATTGCTTGTGTCCGAAGCCCTTTTCTGGATTTACCTTTATCACGAACGTTCAAAGTTGAATATTTGAAAGCCAAGGATGTAAAAAAACCGAAACAGCGGAAGAGCTATATGACCAAAAGGCACCAAAAAATAGCCAACTCCATCTAAATTCAATTTATCTGAGGGAGTGGGAGCCTAGATGTCTTTATAATTCATAAATCTATAAACGGACAATTTAAGAAAGGTTCGATATAATTCATGTCAGTACCGAAGTACTGACTACTAAGCTGATGATATCCTCAGGGACTGATAGTCCACCTGTAGCAGTATTGACCCAGTGTTGTTAAAAATTAGAACAACACTTTATAAATTCCTTACGTCCGAAGCGCTTTTATGTAATTACAATCGTTATGTAAGTAATGTTTTACAATGATCTTTTCATAAGTGCTTAATTATGTCAAAGATGACATATAGCAATGGAAACATGCTTCCCTGGTTGCATGACGTTTTTATGGTGAGTGTAGATACTGTTGTTGTTCTTGTTTAACAAGATGATAACGTGTCCATCTTGTCCTCGTTACAAAGTTTGATTATATTTTGAAAAAGGTTTGTATGACGAGGAACATTCACTTTCATATATGAATTCATAAGATTTATTTGGATATCTTGTAATTACTAGTTTCAAGCTTTATCCTTGAATCGAATTACATATCTAAAATTTCCCTTTCGGAATTGTGGCAGCTATAATTTTGTAATTCCTGTAGCAAGTCAGCAATATGACAGTTGTTTTCCATTCGGTTGATGTGTTTGAGCTTTTGATTTTGCCATTTGATAAGGGACTTTCCCTTTTGAATTTTCCTTGGAATTCGGTTTTTGTGTTATTTTCCCTTTTTTGTTTTTCATTGACTATAATACTACAGTGTACATTAGATATACCTCATTGGACTAACGCCATAGAGGATTTTTCTAATACTCAAAATGACACTAATCGTTGTGTGTAAATTTTATTCATCTCTGCTATTAATACTTTATTTATATAATTACTCTAAATATCAGCACAACAATGTTAAATCTGCAAATTAGCAGAAGCAATTTTTTGTTCTTCCCTCGCCGGGATTCGAACTCTTGCTATTGGGATATCGAGACAACACTACCTGCATTGTGTCCAGCGCTCTAGACCACTCAGCCACCTAAACTGAACTAAAAATTCAGCTTTGGGTGGCCTAGTGTTACCTTTCCTTGTCAGTTAAATCTAGAGTTGTAACGCAGTACATGATATATTAGCCATAAAGATGGAATTGATTGCAGATTAGCTAAGTTATCTGTAATAAAGGATCGTATGATGCAGTCACAGAAATAATTTTTTGATACATGTTAGTACGTCTAAACAAGTGACAACTCTAGGACAAATACATCCATTGGATCACCAGTTTACATAACCATGATAACTGATGACTTTCAAATTGCATTGTGAAAAAAGTTGACTTTGACGAAGATCTGTGTGGTTCATAAATATTCATCAGTGCGATATATTGTCATTATTGATGTACAAATATTTAGACTTTAACAGATTTTTCCTGTTTGCGCAGTATCATATTTTCGATATGGTACGTACCTATCAAATATATTGTGTCCATTTAATACTTAATAATACTTAATATTGCCTTTCGAATGTTGAAAAAAAAAAGTGTTTTGGTAAGGTACGACTTTGGATACAAAATTGAACTTAAACATGTCAATTGCGAAAGACTGTACTCAAGATGTAGATTCTTATTGCCAAAACCTCTCACTTAAATGATAGATGACTGATACACTTTAATGTAAATATTCTAACAGCACAGGTGTTATCGTCTGCTATTAGCGCTTTATCTAAGACATTTATCGGGTAATTTATTTGTTTCAGTTTTAAATCTCAGTCTATCACGCGAGATTTAAATGTATCATATGTATTTGATAACCATTATGACACTATCATTTGAGTCTTTGATAAATATTATTGAAAATTCTTTTGACAAAACGTTATCTATGCAATATTACTTAATATCTATCCGATTGAGTCAAAAAGATATTAAGATCAATTTGTAAAAGATTTAGAATTTGAACCGATAATACCTTTTGTAAATATTGGCCACCTACAAATATTAATATTTAAAAGGGTTGTAATGCTATTAAATTCTTTCTTCATAAATCAGCAAACTGTCAGGTACAATGTAAAATTCAAATAAAACCCAAACATTAAAAGTCATAGAGTCAACTGTGTAATATATGTTTTTAGTGGTATCAAATAGAAATAACATCCATATGAGACGGATTTATATACACGGTCTAGTGTACTCGTATATGTAGATATCATCCAGAACAACGGTTTGTTAATCATGTAAGTGGTAAAAAACAATGTAGGATCATCATATTTTACGACTTAAAGGACCGGCATAGCTGCAGGCTAAACCAAGTAAGATTAAGGTATTGGTTTGAAAATCAATACATTAATCTTACTTTTTTATTCAGTTACCTAGTGAAATATTTGCAGCTCGCAAACGGATAATAATTAAACAGAAACAAAATCAGCTTAGATTCTTTTTTTAGAAACCGCGTAGAATCAGAAGCATTTCTTTAAATGTACATGTAATGTAACAAATATCAATTAAAAGCCATTTACTGTTTCATCATTGCCTTTTCTTGGTACCCACCTGGATTTCCCTAAAAATGGACATTTGGTGACTACAATATTTTCAAATTTACTCGAAAAGACACTGATAATGTTATTCTTTCGTTAAAGCAGTAATATCTTGCCTATTTCACAATTCAGATATTATTTTCTGACATTTTTTAACCCCTTTTGAAAGGGTATAACACTAATGAAAACTCATTTACGGAATTATGACCTTAAATTGTAATAAAAAATAAGCCATTTTTCGATTATACGACCAGGCAAAATTAAAGTTAAAACATTTCTCTTAACGAAAAATCATAATTTAGCCTGTATGTAGGGTGGTCCATTTAAGTTAAAAATTCGTTAGCTGGGTCACTCCTCTTCATTATTTAGTACATCGAGTGAACATAGGTGAGATATTCGAGAAATTGTGGACTTGTGTTTCCTCTATCAGAGTTTTTTTTTCATTGAATAACGCATACGGTCATGACGGTTATGAATCATCTTTATTAATGTTATACTGCAATTATATAAAAAATAAAACTGCATTTGATGAGAATCTTTCTGATGTTACGCTCAAGTTTGTTGACTAGTTTAAAGAGGAGGTGCGCTAATGATCTTTTAAGGCGTAACAATTCAAATTATTACAAAATGAAATGATTTATGTAAAAAGATAATGAATAATGATGTGCAAATTTTGAAACGAAAAATATTTCAGATATAATGAATTTGCACGGAAATTTTACGATCATAAGACAGCTTAAATCTAGATTTCCTACATGGTACAATAATGCATATTTAAAAAAATATGAGTGAGTTTGGTCTATTGAGCACATGCAAGTTCCACAGAAATAATTATATGATAATGTGTACATCCATAGCGACCTTTCGTTAAGAAGGAAAAGACCCCTTTTTATTTTTTCTTAAAATTTAGACACAAAATCAATTTTGATATGGTCTATCGAAATAATCACATACAAATATACCTGTATGACTTACTCTTCAAGATAATTCGATATGATTTTGGCCTGATTTAGGTAAACACAACTGTTTCCATTTTCAATACCTTTTTGTCAAAAATTGCAAAACTTTTATATGAAAAGACATGTTTTCATCCAGTGTTTGAAAAGTGTTCCTT